AATTGTACTCTATCAATGAACTTTATTTCCACTCTATCAGGTCAATTCTTCTCTATAYCCTATTTTATATCTCAGTATTTTTATATAGCTATCACATTTTTTCTAAGCTATCACAAATAAATCGTTAGAGAAAGTTTTGACAAAGACACCTTGGAACTTATAATAACATCACTGGTGTTCAGTAAGCTGATATATTGCTCATCAGTATGGTCTAACACTACAGCACAAAACATCGATAAACTGCAGTCCATTCCAGAATTTTGCGTGCAAGATTGTTACAAACTCCAGAAAGTATGACCATGTAACACCACTGCTGCGTCAACTTAACTGGCTCCCTGTTAAAAAGCTCCTGTTCTTCAAGGATTCGGTTTTAACATACAAGTGCCTTCACAGCATTGCACCGGACTACCTTCGCAACAAATTCATCAAACATTCCAACGTTCATAGTCGTAACACTCGATCACGTGACTGCCGCTGGCCAACGCTCTTTCACGTACAGGGCTACCAGCATATAAACATTAAACAAAGCAAATCTTTCAAAAGTTTTAAGACAGCATTGAAGGATCATTTAATGAAATCTTAGAATATTACATTTATACATAATTTCAACATTATTTCTATTATTAATTCATTCTTATTTCATTTTAAATACATGTAAATAGTTTTTGAAAAATCTTTTTAGAAATTTACTATTAAAGGGACCCTGAGATCGCAAACTATTCATAGCTCAAGATGTACATTAAAGCTTGTAAATTTTGAAAATGAAAATACAAATTCGATCAAATTCGATTTACGGGGTTATATCGTCATTAAAAGATCGCGATTTACTTCTTATGGGATCCCTGTGGAATATTGCAGTTTCAAGTAGTTGGAGTTCCTGTGCGGAATGACGTCAGATCGTGGTCGCGTTTGGCAAGCTACAACAAAGATKCCTCATTGTGTTGTCTTCAAATGCAACAATCAATCTAAGAATAAAGATCCAAAGATTTCATTTCATCTTATACCAGAGAAAAAGAAACATCCAGCATTGAGAAGACGTTGGGAAAATGCAATTGGCAGAACGGAATTACCTTCTTCAGGCTACGTATGCTCAGATCATTTCGAACCATCATGTTTCGATTCGAGCCACAAGTTGCGAATGGAGCTGTTAGGCAGTTGTTGTGGTTCAATTCAATATTAGACTTTATTGCTTGTAATTTCGGTTCATTCGATTCAGGTCGGGTCGGGTCGAGTCGTGTCTTTTTACCTACTTCACAATATTCTTCACTTGAATTTATATGATACACTTATGTTTACATAGAGTGATGCAATCGGTTGCATCACTCACGCTTATATGTCAAAACTATGTGATAATGCATGCGAGACTAAACAGCAGTCGATTCAAATAGAAACTTAACCCAGATGCTGTGCCTACTATATTCCCCCATAAACCAGCAAAGCGAATGAGAGAATCGAGTGTTAAGCGTACAGAAAAGAAAGAACACCAGCGGGTATGTATTTTAATTGCTACACTAATGTTGCTAAAGTATTGCAGTACATTTTTAATTAATATTGATTCTGATTTTGTTAGAATTTGGATGATATCTGGACAAATATACCCACACAATCAACAACAGTAGCTACTGTAAGTAGTATGAACTGGTTGAACACATTGTACACGTATCTTTATTTAATCAAATGAATAATTGCAGGGTCATTAGCTNAAAATGAGCCTCGCGTATATTCTTGACGTTCTCGTATCTTCCTTTCAATAAATCAATAGCAATAGCATAATTTGCATCATTCAAATTCAAATTCTTGACGAGTACAGCAGCTTCTCCCTTGAGACACGATTTCAAATATTGAAGCTTCTGAACGGGCGCTAAATTTGAACGCGAATCAACAGCACATTTAAAAGTATCGTAGAACTCCGACCATTGCGTATATCCTCCACTGAACGATTTCAAATCCAGTTGCGGCAGCTTTGCTTCACTCGCAGAAATCTTATTAGCAGAAAACAGATCCTTTAACGATTCTTGTTGTTGTGCAGTAATGCGTTGCAATGATTCCACTTGATTGTTCACAATTTCTTTAACAGCTTGCAATATTGTTGCATCAAACGTAGAACTAGAAGCTGACGCAGAAGTAGCACGCGTCGATTCTTCAGGAAAGTAGTTATCTTCGATAATATCAATTATTTCTTCGATTCCCGTACACTTGTCTTGAAAAACCTTGTATGAATAGTGAATTTCTTCAACCTCTTCGGTTGTCGCTGCTTCATTCAACAATTCTTCGAAAATCTGGTCATACCTTTCCTTATAGACTGACAAAGCGTTCTGTTTCTTTGCCAAAACTTTAGCGGTCGTCTTTACACTTTCGCCATCCTCACTAGTAACACTTTTCACATAGTCGTAAATACATTCTACTTGATACTTGATTCCATCCCTTTTCTTGATAAGTCGCTCCATACTCAATAACGCCAGTAGAAGAATTACTGAAATACGTAACATTTGCAGTACTTGAATCTGTCCATAGAATTATCCGGCTCGAAGGACCATGTTGTGGTTCAATTCAATATTAGACTTTATTGCTTGTAATTTCGGTTCATTCGATTCAGGTCGGGTCGGGTCGAGTCGTGTCTTTTTACCTACTTCACAATATTCTTCACTTGAATTTATATGATACACTTATGTTTACATAGAGTGATGCAATCGGTTGCATCACTCACGCTTATATGTCAAAACTATGTGATAATGCATGCGAGACTAAACAGCAGTCGATTCAAATAGAAACTTAACCCAGATGCTGTGCCTACTATATTCCCCCATAAACCAGCAAAGCGAATGAGAGAATCGAGTGTTAAGCGTACAGAAAAGAAAGAACACCAGCGGGTATGTATTTTAATTGCTACACTAATGTTGCTAAAGTATTGCAGTACATTTTTAATTAATATTGATTCTGATTTTGTTAGAATTTGGATGATATCTGGACAAATATACCCACACAATCAACAACAGTAGCTACTGTAAGTAGTATGAACTGGTTGAACACATTGTACACGTATCTTTATTTAATCAAATGAATAATTGCAGGGTCATTAGCTTACTTAGTATTGATACTTTATAAAAGCTTACTTCATTATGCATTATTTTTTAATRTAATTGATTTTTCAGACAAGCCAAAAGGAAATTGMAGTTCAAACTGATCATCTTTATAGAGCTGATAAAAGTTCACAATGTCCACTTGCTAGTAAACATAAAGGTGTACAAGCTACTGCAAGAATGCTCAGCAAAGGTGTTTAAARCAAAGGTGAACAAACAAGAGAGATAGGTGTGCAATTCAGGGCAGACACAAAAGATGAAGAAATCCAAGGCTTTGCTGAGGAATTGCTTCAAAATAAAAATATACCTGAAGATCAAGAATCAATTGACCTGTTTGAAGTTACTGAGTGTGATGATGATCAAGATGGAAGTGATTATTTGCCATCTTCACAGTCTGAGAAAAGTTCCAAATCTACAGTGGGCTCACCACATAAGCAAAAAAAGAAACTCAGTGATGAGCAGGTGTTTCTAGTATATGAAGAACAATTAAACAGTAGTTAAGATTCTGTCCCAACTGTGGCAGCMTGGTTATTTCTGAAGGCTTGAGAGAAACCAAACATGGCTCATTGCTTACTCTGAGTTTTACCTGCCTAAATGGATGCCAGAATACATGGAAATCACAACCAGAGATTTTTCACAGCAAAGGAATTGGTAATGTAATGCTGGTTTCTGCAAWAGCTTTGAGTGGATTGCCATTTGCTAAATTGAAACAGTTTGCATACTTACTAAATGTACGTAATATATCAGAGAGCTCTTTCTATCGTATCAGAAAGGAATATATTTTTCCAGAAATTCAT